GCTCCTTGGGTCCTCTGGAGTCTCATCCATAATCATGTTGGGTTTTTCCCAACACAGCCAATGCGGTAGCCTCCAAAGATTCTCCCCGAAGTAGCTCTATTCCCTTAGGCCCCGCTCCTTCCTAAGTTCTAAAAGGAGCTGAAGGACTAGTCAAGTCTGTTTCAGACAGTTAGAGGCCATAAGGACTTTTTTAGAAGAGACAGGTTGTCCAGTCACGGCAAAGGAATAAGTCTTTATTCAAAATGTTTTAGTACTCGTATATAAGGATATATTTGAATGAGGATAATAATAGTGTCTGCCTTCACAGATGTGTTGTGAATATCAAATGGGATAAGCTATGTGGAGTGCTCTATACATTGATACTGTTTGTTTTTAACAGATAAGAATAACCAGGATTGATAGAGTACCGGCCCTGGATTCAGGAGGACCTGATTTCAAATCCAGCCTCGGACACATAACACTTACTAGCTGTATGATCCTGGGCAAGTCACTTAACAACATTGCCTAGCCAAAAGACAAAAAACAAAAACAAACAAACAAACAAAAACAACCAGCCCCCCCTCCACCACCAAAAAGAATAACCAGCAAAAGCACCAGGAATTGGAGAGCTCCTCCCTGCCCTATCTAAGAAGAGCTTCCTTTGCCATGAGGTTCTGGGCCCCACCAAGTCCAGCCCTGGGTTCAAAGCTTAGCTCTTCCACTTGCTACCCAAGTGACCTCAGGCACCTCTGAGCCTTAGAGGGAAGTGGCCTACAGGACCTCTGTGGGCCGCTGCAGCTATGCACCTAGACCCTCAAAAGGTTCCTATGTTGCCTCTGCCTTTTAGCGTTTCAGATTTTTCTGTTCTATGATAACCATCAAATATGCAACATGCATCTAAGGTGCATCCAATAGACAGGTAGTACAGTACAGTGGGAAGTGTGATGAATTTAGAGTTAGAGCCAGCCAGCCACCACCCAGTTCAACCTGTACATGAAAAGCATTCCATTATAACATCCCTGACAAGTGAACATCTAGACTTTGCTAGAAGACCCCAATTCCTCTCAAGGCAGCTCATTCCACCATTTCTAATTGTTAGAGAGTTTTTCCTAACATCAAGCCTAAATTGGCTTCTTTGCATGGATTTGAACCCTAGGCTTTCCACTTCCTACCTCTGTGAACTTGAACAAATGAATTTGCCTCTGTAGGCCTCTCTGTTCTCATCTATAAAATCAGGAAAATGGACCAAATGACTTGTGAGGTGCCTTCAAGCTCTCTGTGTGTGATTTCATAATCTGATGGAATAAAATCCCAAGTTATAGTTGTGGCTCAAGCTGCCATCTTGAAACAAAACAGAACTTCTTGTAAGTTTCATAGGACCTGTGTCTTCAGTAACTTCAAAGTGATCACCATGAAACTTGGCATGTGAGTGGAGAGAGCAGAATTATGTAAGCAAGGTGAATGATGCTCATGAGTCATGGAACCATGAGTTGGTAACTGGTATTGAGAAGCCAAGGACTACTTTCTCTGTGGAAGGAATGGTCAATGGGAAGGAGGAAAGGACTAATTAAGGTACAATATCTTATTTTTTTTATGAAAGGGCATTTTAGAAGTCCTTGCTTATCTATTCAGAGGTCATTCTTTAATGACAGTTGTTCTAGATATGATTTTTTTGCTATCCATCTAGAAAATCCAGAAAGAATTCATCTGACTCTGATAGCATCTCTAAGAAGCAGGACTTACGTTGGGAGAATGGTACAGACATTGCATTGCTGCAATATCTTTCTTCAGTGATATGTATATATAAAAAGGACCAAACTACTACATAAAGACTCACCATAAGTGCTAATATCTAGCCTTTGTAGACAAGTGAATAATTTGTGACTTATCTTTTCCCCACCCATTGTATGGCTACACAACCCAGTCATTGGCTAGAGATATCTCAGCAAACAAAGGCTTTAATTTTTTTATTTTGAGTTAACCCCCCCAAACAAATATTTCCATATACAAAATAGAACAGAAAAAGATTATTTATGAAATAAAAATTTATATTATGTAAAGCTTGTTTTATTTTAAAGTTTGTAATAAATTCAATATGTTACTTTCAAAGCTGTCCAGATTGCCTGTGTTTCCTTCTGATTCTATTCTAATCTAAAGATTCAAAAAAGAGTTATTCAAAGACCTTCTTTTATTTTGGTAACATTATCACTAGGTCCCCTGTCCCCTTCAAACCTCCTTCCCCTCTATTGAACCAAAGAAAAACAAAACCCATGGAACCAATACACATTCAACTTTATTTTTGAAGGAGAAGGTTAATCCTCAAAAGGCACAGGGATGATTCTTTTTTCAGGTCATTAGGTTGCCCTAGAATTAAAAAACAGTAACATAATGAGCCTACACTTCAATGCTAGTCTTTGCTTCAAGGGATTTTATGTTGATCAAAAAAAAATCTTACAAGCAAAAAGCACACTACAAAATCGACCTTGGCTGGTGTCCTAGTAGTGATTCAGGAGTGAAACAAAATGCTGACCCAATAGCTTTGGGATTGTGAGAAATCAGAGGAACCCTTTCTAGTCCCTCCTGCCTTTAGAGTTCTCACTTCTAAGATCACTTCCCATCCTCTTGTATCTCATATATACTGATATCTGTCCATGTTGTTACCTTTGTTAGAATGAAAATGCCTTAGCGATGTTATTGATAAAGACCTCATAGGCACCAAAATATTTATAGCAGTCAACAACCATTTAAGTGTTCACAGTGTGCCAGGTGTAATGCTAAGTTAATAAGCACCTACTATGTGCCAGGCACTGTGCTAAGTGCTGGGAATACAAAGAAAGGCAAAAAACAACCACTGCTCTGTAGGAGCTCACAATCAAATGGGGAGATAACATGCAAACAGCTTCATACAAATGAAATATAGACAGGGTAAATTGGCAATAACTCACAGAGCATCACATTTTGTTATAACAAAGAAATGGAAACAAAGTAGATGCCTAGTGACTGGGAAATGACTAAACAAGTTGTGCTACATGAAGATGGAGAATTACGGTACTATAAGAGATGATGACTGTTTTGAGTGTAGAGAAGCATGGAGAGATTACCTGAACTGATGCAAAGTGAAGCAAACAGAGCCAAGGAAACAATATTCACCATAGAAAGAACAACTGCAAAATAATTGAAAATGGATGCCGTGAAATTACAAAGAACAAAGTTGGCCCCAAAGAGGAATTAAGAGAAGACATCTTCCTTCTTTCTCATGCAGAGACGGGAGGTGAAGCGTATTTAGGAACTCTGTAAATCTTGGCAGATGTTTTGAGTGAGTTGTTGGGTTTTACTGATTTTTTTTCTTTTGATGAAGGGGATTAGGGGAGGGTGTGGGAATTTAGGCCATGTAAAAACAAAAGATGTCAGTAAACATTTATTTTATAAAAAGAATAGAAGAACCTTGAAGGAAGTGATTGGTTTTGCTTCATCTTTACATCACCAGTGCTCAGCCCAATAATAATTAAAATACTTATTATAGTTATTAAAATACTTACAAATACTTATTGATGGATTAAGTTCCCCCAGAGCACATTTGCAAAATAACATAATGGAGAGAACATAGAAGTTGGAGACCTGAGGTTGATACTCATTGTTTGCGTGACTATGGTGGTTCAATCATCCTCTTTCATCACTTGGAAATAACACCTGTATTGGAGATTCCCACCTGGTCTAAAGAGCCCAGGATGCTGCGGAGACCTCTTACTTATCTGACTCATCATCATTATTTGTGTGCAACCTAGAGACTTTATTAGCATCAGTTCATTTGTCTCCCCATATTTCTCTAAATTATCTGCAGTAATAAAAGCTGGTTGAATTGAATCTTAATATTGTTCATTGCATATTGCCCAGTAATACTTCATGACATCGCTTTGAGGCAATACTCACAAGGAAGAAAAAACTCTATTTGTGGTGGTGTCTGTATTCCCTAACTGCAGCTTCTCTAGCTGAGGAATGGGTCATAGGATCATAGGAATATGTAGGAATATATAGGAATATCTCTATCTAATATCTATCTAAATGTCTTATTGTTGGGTCTGTATCTGATTCTAGCTTTTGGTTAATTTTACAAAATTTTGGTTACAACTCTCATAGCACAAAGCTTTTTGTGATTGATCATGAGCAATGCAGAGAAGGCTGGGCAGCAGTCATTTCTGGCTGGCTATTGGCTGATTGATGGAGCACGATCTGGGTATTCTGAGCACCAGTAGGCTAACTGGATTAAGCTAAACAAGCCTCCATGCATCTGTAATAGGTATAAGGCATTATGACTCATGCATGGTCCTCTATTAGCCATCAAGGCCCTGGGTATATATATATATATGACTGTTGCTCCAATTCTCTTAACCCCAATGGTTTTTCTTATTAATCTAATCTAGGATGATGATGTCACTCAATGCCCCCACCCACTTGACCCATGCCCTTTCTTTGCCTTTCCTTTGTGTCACTTCATTTATCATCTTCACTCATAATAGAATAATGTCATAATTTTACGCATATGGTTTAATTAAATTAGTGAATGCATAGCAAAACTAGAAACAGTAATTGCATGTAACATGACCTGCATGCTCCCAAGGAAGTATAAACTTCATTTGTGGTGGGGTCTGTAGCCCCTAGCTGAGGAATGAGATGCAGGATCATAGGAACGTGTATCTGGTCATAAATGGTGTGGCGCCCAGGTGCAGTACAGGACATAAGTTTAAACTCGTGATAGAGATGGAAATGCCCTATTTCACTCTTGCCATGGACTTCCTATAGGATGCTTCCTCCCTCACCAGCGACTACAAATCTCTTTTTGCTTCTGCTCTGGTCAGTTCTGGGCATTCATCTCTGGGGCTAGAGTATTTAGCTGCCTTTGAACCCTGGCTTCCATGGAGAAGGCCAGCAGGATCCTACATGCAGCCACAGGGAAGCTCCCCCTTCTGTCTTGTCCTGGCCTTCGCTGCCACTCCACCCCACCCCATTTCTTCACCTTCAAAAGTCTGTGCCAGGCCTGCTATTGCCATCCATCGCCTCCATCCAAGAACTATTGTAGGACAGCGTAAGCTCCACGAGGGAAGGAATTGCTGGGTTTTGATCTTCATCTCTGCAGCGCCTGCCGCAGAGAAAGTGCCAAACATCATAAATATTTGATGAACTGAGTTGCATTATGGGGAAGCAAGTTGGGCAAATGAGACTTTGTAAGAACTCCAGTGAACTGAAGAAGGGAATCCAGAGGCCCCACCCTCACCCACATCTGTCCCCTAACCTTGGGGATTTGTGGATAACTAGTGCCTGGAGGAATGGGGCCCCTCGCTCATGGCAGACTATCACAAAGCCTTACAGGAATATCCCAGCCCTGAGACCCAGAAAGTAAATCAGATGTCTTTGCAAACTGATCTGCTTCCTTGGGAATCTGTTTGATGTGTTGGGCATTGGTGCCTACTCCAAGGCGCTCTGATGCTCAGATTCTGGGAAAGCAGTCCATGTGACTTTGATGTTTTCCCTTACGGGCCTGATTGAAATAAAATGGTGGCCAGGGGTACATCGGCCTCCTTCTAGTTGACTCCACAGCATTGGGGCCCCCCAGAGCTGCTCCCACCTGACAGACATAAAAGCCCAATGGCCCCTCAGCTTCTTCCCCAGCTCCTTTTCTCCAGCACTTTTTCCTGGCAGCTCTTTCCAATTTGCCTGTTTACTAAAATCTCATGAAAAAATCCACACACAAAACAAAAACCCCAATGCATTAAATTTCCCGATCATCCATTTAACTCAGAGATGGGAGGAGAGAAAGAATTTGTAGTTTTCAAAGCCCATTAGCTGGCTAATGATAGCTCGGGTCCTATGGCAGCCCTGAGCCTGATAAGCTGCTTCCAGCATTCAGCGAGGAGGCTGGGAGGCCTTTATAGGGCCCAGCTCTGTGTCTGTAGCCTGCACATGTTTTCAAACATAATTTCATACTTGCTTCCTGACAGCTCATTAAACAAAGGCCTCCTGGTGCATCTACTGCCCATTTCCCTGCTGAGGCAGGAGCCTATTTACAGAAGGCCCCAGATTGCAGGCTCCTCCTGCTTCCCAGCAGCCTGCCTGCCAAATGCTTATCAGCCTCCCCCAAAGGTGACTGTGCTTCCCTGTCAGCTCAGGTAGCGATGGTCTTGGCTGTGACCCTCCGAGACAAAGAAGGAGAGCGATTAGGAGCAGTTTCTGTGCAGGGGAGATAAAAGTCATCGCAGTCAGGAAGACAGTGGGAAAGAGCTCAGGGGAGGAGGAGGAGGATGCTGGGGAGGCTGATAGCTCCCATTCAAGCCCAGAGCCTGGCAGCAACTTCCAGAGACAGCTGGTCACGTCCAGGCCCAGGGGGATGTGGGGCTGAGGCAAAACAAACAAGGACCTTGGGGTGTTGAGAAGCGGGTGGATGGGGCTGATCAGAGCTGCTGCCTTCTAATTACTGGGCTCTCTCCTGCCATTAAACCATCATTATGCAGCCAAATCAATAAAGGCTGGATGAATTTAGAGCTCTGCACTGGAGTTTTTTCCTTTTCTTTCTGGATGCTCATGCCAAAAGCATTTCCGTCTGGTCCTGGGAGGACGGATGAAGACATCTCTGAAGTGGTAAGCAGCAGCAGGCTGGAGTCAGCTGCCATTTTAGGCATCCAACAAAACTTGTAACAGGTCTGTTTTCGACCAGGGTGGGGTCCTAAGCCAACAGATCTTTTCTCTTGGATGGGAACATACAAAGCAAACAAAAAACCCTAAATCTGCATCTCATCCCCAACCAAATGAAACTCCTCCTGTTCTGTTTCTAAGACAAACAGATTCTACCGAAACCTGCCTCAATTGGGCAGATGTTCTAGGCCAATGGGTGAGTCTTGGTCCCACCAGCTTCAGGAACAGGTGCATGGAGATAACTCAGGAAGGTGGATGTCTAACCTGGGAACAGCTGGGTATCTCTGACTGAGCCTTGTTAGTGCCAAAGAGCCTCAAGGCATCTGTCATACAGGCTTGCCTTAGGGAGATCATCTCTTCTTGGGCTGTGAGCAAGTCAGTGCTCTTCTAAGACAGGGTCCCCAATCTGTCAGGAGGCACAAGGTGAAGGGAGGCTGGGAAAGGGAAGTTACTTTCCATTTCATAGAATTGGAGTGGGAGGGGACTCCAGAGGTCACCTAGTCTGACCCCTTGCCAAAGGCTGAATTTTGTCTACAACGGTCCCCAGTAAATGGTCTTCCAGCCTGAAGCTCTCCAGTGACAGGGAAGTCACTACCTTTTCGGGAAGTCTTTTCTATTTTTGTAGGATGCAATTGTTAAGAAGTTGGTCCTTATTCAATTCAACCAAATATATAGGTATTAAATGCCTGTTATGTGTCTAGCATTGTGTTAAACACTAGAGATACAGACACGCAAAAAGAAGCCTTCCCTGCCCTCAAGCAGCTTATACCCTACCGGCAGGAAATGAAATATATACATATAAGTAAATACGTTTAATATATAAAATATATTTATACTTATATATTTATAAAAATAAAATATATTTATATATTAAATACATATTAAATATTTTAATAATATATAATACACATTTAATATATGTATGTATGTATGTATGTATAGATAGATAGATAGATAGATAGATAGATAGATAGATAGAGTAATCAGAAGGTCAGAGGAGAGAGCCCAAGAAATGGAAAGGATCACAAAAGGCTTGCTTTGGAGGTAACGGTATGTCTCCAAATAATTTCTGTTCATTTGGCCTTGTTCTTTCTTAAGAAACCGAGCAAAATGTGTATCAACTTTCAAATACAAAATAGTTCACTAAATAGTTTGAAAAGCTTGCTAGCATTTATACTGGGCTTCAAAGTTTGCAAAGCACGTTATACATACATACATACATACATACATACATACATACACATACATATACTTATACATATATATAAATACATATGTGTGTATGTGTGTGTATGTGTGTATATACATATAGACAGATAGATACATACATACACACATACATACATACATTATCTTAGATGTTCCTCACAACATCCATATGAGGTAGATGCTACACTTTACAAATGGAGAAACGGAGGCAGATAGAGAGTTTAAATGACTTGCCGAAGGTCACATGACTAATTATTATCTGAATCCAGATTTGAACTCAAGGCTCCCTGACTCCAAGGCCAGCACTCTTATCTACTGAGCCTCCTAACTGCCTCCATCTTGAAGAGATCTCTGATGCCTTCTCTTCTCCAAACCCAACATCCACAATGCCTTTGAATGACCAAAGAGCACAGCTTTAAATCTTCTTACTTACTTTTCCTCAGACTGAGTGTCAGCTTGTCAATGCCCCCACTAAATCGTGGTGTCTATTGCACATCAACAATCTATAGGTAATTGACACACATTTACAAATCTAAGCGGCATTCTACAATTGATAAATGCTTCAAGGATATAAACAGTTTTCAAAAGAAAAGTCGAAACCATCTACAACCACGTGAAAACGTGGTCCATACTACTAATTATAAGAAAAATGAAAATGAAAATAACAGTGATATGTCAACTCACACCCATCAAGTGGGCAAATATGGCACTCCAATACACCAGTGACCCAGGTGTTCCCGCTAATGTGGGCCCACCTTTCACTGATGCGAATCTTCCCATCCTTGTCATTCAGTTGTTTTCACTCCTGTCTGACTCTCCATGACCCCATTTGGGGTTTTCTTGGCTGAGATGCTAAAATGGTTTGCCATTTCCTTCTCCAGCTCATTACAGAGGAGGAAACCGAGGCAAACAGGGTGACATGACTTGCCCAGGGTCACACAGCTAGTAAGTGTTTGAGGCCCGATTTGAACTCATTAAGATGAGTCTTTGTGACTCCAGGCCCAGCATTCTATACATTGCACCACCCAGCTGCCCCCTGGAAACTGTAGTGCCCCATGAAACCAAGGCGTTAAGATAACATTGGAGGAATATTAGTGATGAAAAAAAGATAAACCTTGATTTCAGGAAGAAGCTTGTCATTAAAAGAACTTTCCAGTTTCCTCAATGCAGTCCAGTCTCTTCTCTTCCACCTACTTGAGTGAATGAATAAATGAAAAAGCATTTATTAAATACTTCCAATGTGCCTAACACTGTGCTAAGTGCTTGGGAGAGAAATACGATTCTGAGACAGTCACCGCCTTTAAGTAGCTTACATTTAAACAGGGAGAAACAGTGGACGCAGCAGATGTGGACACCAGGGAAGGGTGTTTTCATTCAGGAAGTCACAAGGATGGTGAGAGGGACAAGAGGACTCCGTACCATGCCCTTCAGAAGCAATGGTCATACTGTCTGCCTATAGTTGTTCTACAAGAGAAGGGATTGGACCAAGGGATGGGTGTAGTAACAAGGCAGGAAATGGCCTTGGTGAAGGTGAGGACGCGCGGCCCCAGAATCCAGACCTGAGCGGCTTCACTGCTGCTGGGCGTGGTCTCTGGAGACTGAGTTTGGAATCTAGACTGGAAGCCCCTTCAGAGCAGAGGCTGGTTTTACTCTTCTCTTAGTGTTTTAGAAACCAGAACAGTGTCTGGCACATAGGTACCAAATAAATGTTTATTGATTGGTCATTTGGCCAATCAAATGAGTTCATTCCCTTGATCTCCTTGTTTGGTATCCCTGTCGAAAACATGGAACCTTGCCTCCACCAGAGCACAGTGGATAGAGTGCTGGGCTTGGAATTAAGAAGATCTCAGTTCAAATCCTGCCTCAGATACTTGCTTAGCTGTGTGACCCTGGGCAAGTCACTAAAACTTATTTTGCCTCAGTTTCTTCATCTGTAAAATGGGGATAATAACGGCACTTGCCTCACGGGTTTGTTGTGAGAATTAAGCGCCGCCATCAAGTGCTTCCTAAATGTGAGCCGTTATGATTATTTTACCACTGAAATGTGATGAGTCTGGCATGAACTATTCTTAATACAACCGTATATAATGCCATTACTTACTATAATGATTGAATCCCATTTAAATAAACTTCCAGCACTGCCTTCTTCTCTCTCCAAATACTTCAAAGCCATCTCTTTAGTGACACACTCTAGAATTTGATCAGCTCCCTAATTTAATATTCAGACTTTCCAGTTTCTTTTCCATTTTGAAAGTCAGGGCCATTCTTGTGTTCCTTTACTACTATAGCTCTCTGCCCAGCCCCAACCCCCATCATCCCCCCAGGACTCCCGATACCATCATCATCATTATCACATTGTTGGGAAGCATAGTTACAGTTCCAATTGAAATTCCCATTACATACTTCATAACACTGACACCCTCAATGCTTTTCACCTTCATCATGTGGGCCTGGTGCTTTGGAGCTATTATTCCGTTTTATTTTGTCAAGTAACCTGATGTAAGGAATATAATTTGGGTTACTTTCAAAATTTCAAAACTTCAAAATAAGCCCCTGATTTGGTTTTATTATGGGTCTGGGCCTGGGCTAGAAGCTTGCCTTGTGATGTCAGTGGTATAAGGATTTCCCACATGAGGAAACTGCCTCCACCAAAGCAGACTGACACTTTTTCTGTCTTAGTTACCGTAATACTGGGAGGTAAGTGACTAGATTAAGGTCTCCCAGACGAGTATGCATCAGAAGTGGGGCTGATTACTAGTCACTAATTATAATCATTGAACATGCTGGAATAGAAGGAAGGGAGACCTGGGTTCAAATCTTTCTCTTTTCAGCTAGGTGAACTGAAAGACAAGCCATGTAGCCAATATGAGCCTTGGCTCCCACATCTGTAAAATGGGGATGATAATCCCCATAGTATCTGTCTAATAGGATTATTGTTGAGTATTCAAATGAAATGCATGTACAGTACCTCAAAAACCCTGAAGTGCTAGATAAATATCCAGTGTTATTAGTGTTCTTATTAATAATTAAATACAACTCACATCTTATTCCACTTTGAAGTGTGTAAAGCACCATCTTCACAACAGAGTAGGGAGAGTGAGTCCTGACAGTGCTTCTGACTCTCTGGGCTTCCCTACCATAATTCAGTTGCCTTCTCAGCTTGAAGCTTCCCTCAGTACCTAGGGCCTTTTTGTTCTGGAATATTCCTACTTGACTCATTGGGGAATTCCTTCCAGCAACCCCCAATTTAGGAATGGGTTCAGCCCCACCATGCCTCATTGCCCTCCCGGCTCAGTTTCTAACTCTGGGCTTTGCCACCATGCCCACCACATGGATATCTTCTCCTCCCCACCCCTACACTTTTCAGTACCCATGTATGTATTGTTTCCCTCCATTAGAATGTAAGCTCCTTGAGGGCAGGGACTATCTTTCCTCTTGCACTTAACATGGTGCCTAGTGTGCAGCAGGTCCTTAATAAATGCTTGTTGCCTTTCTTTATTCCACCAATGTCACAGACAATGACTCAGCTAGCACACCTGCCAGTTCTTTGAATATCTTGGAATGAAGTTCACCTGGACCCAGTGACTAGAACTCATCTGAGGGCAGCAACAAAGGGAGCCCTTGCCATCTCTTCACTTACCTTCAATTTCTACTCCCAGTTGGTTTGTGTTTTATCCCCTGTAACCTGAAGATCATTCTTGGAAGAGAAAGCACAGGTCAAGCGTTCTTGATGCTGAGTTGTCCTTCCCAATCACTATCCTCCATGATCATGTTTCAATGCGCTCTAGTCTTGAGACAAAGTTGAGAGTGCAAAGGTCCAGGGTAGAAGTAAAGTGTTGGCTGAGTGGGAAAGGCAGCTGTTGTAGTATTGATCATGGTATGGGGAGCATGGTGAGGGCCACCATGTCAGATTTCATGGTCTGCCAACTGGAAACCCATATTTCCAAAGGGACTTAGGGCTGAGTTTATGCCAAATAAAGAGCTACAATGTCTAGCTTAGGAGAGAGAAGGCTTTGGTTTGGGAGAAGGGAGCTGAAGGGTAGAGATTTCTCTCTATTAGTGACTGAATTGCCAACTCGTAGAAGAGATTCTGTTTGTTCCGTTTGGCTCCAGCAGGCAGAGCCAGAAGCCAGGAGCCACAGATGTAAGGTGGAAGAAGGCTGCTTTCAGCATCTTCTCTAGGATACTGTATCACCTCCCAAAGTTTATTTATTTGTTTTCTTATCAAATGGTAAACAATAGAATGCAAAGGAGTCTATTTAAACTCACTTCCACAGGGCACAATGATGTGGAATGAACTAGGAGTCATTGTAGTGAGTGATGTGGGTGATGTGGACAAGTTCGACCCAAGTCAACTAGGGATGGTAAAATCTGTTCCTCTACATTATTTATAAAAAATACTTTAGTAGTTTTTCAGCCAGTGTGCTTTCAGACTATGGAGAAAGCTGCTCACATTAACGAAAATTACGGAAAATATGAAGCAGAAGATTAAAATTGGACCAGCTCCTTCTTCATGTTTATGATTGGCACATTCAACCTGCCAGTGGAAAATGTGCTTTGCCTGTTAAGTCCATTTGCAAAATCCATATGCCAAAGTCCGTACCCAGTGCTTCCCAGGACAAGCTGAAAACCAACTGTTTGCAGCTGATTTTAATATAAATTAGATACATATCCTACATGATCCGCTCAGCTAAATTTCTGTGCCCCAGCGTGCTCCTTGATTGGCCATTTTCCTAAGAAGTATAAGTGCATCTAGAGAAACATAAACTGGGCCATTTAAGCCTAAGTCATCATCTCACCCCTCAAGGCTCTTATTGATCAGAGCACAGTCCAGGGCAGTCATAGTCAGCACTTAAAAGCTAATGGTAGGATTCTGGCTTTATGGGCCTGAGCCACACCTACTGTAATCACCTTTATGGATGTGCTAAGACCATGGACCATCATAATTCAACGAGCATCTCTCTCTCTCTCTCTCTCTCTCTCTCTTTCTCTCTCTCTCTCTCTCTCTCTCTCTCTCTTCTTCTTCTTCTTCTTCTTCTTCTTCTTCTTCTTCTTCTTCTTCTTCTTCTCTTCTTTTCTCTCCTCTCTTTCCCTTCCTTCTCTTCCTTTTCCTTCTTCATGTCTCTCACTTTCTCCCCCTCTTTTTTCTTTCTCTTCTCTTTCTCTGTTTCTGTCTCTTCTCTCCCTCTCTTTGTCTCTCTCTGTAGCTCTCTGTCTCTGTCTTTCTCCCTGTCTGTCTATTTCTCTCTTATTATAAGGTTACTCTGGCCGGGACTCTTTCTTACTTTGTCTCAGTATCCCCCAGAGCACTGTGAACATAGGAGTGGCTTAAGTGACTACTGAATAAATGCTAACAAAATTAAGCTGAAATGATAATAGTGGCTGGATGGAAACCAGTCACATTCATTAGAAAACAAGCAGCTTGAGGGCAGAGCCTTGTCCCCTGCTTTCATCCCTTCCTCCTTTCCTCACCTCTACAATATGTGTCATGCCCCACTGCCACCTTCACGTTCTTAACACTGGTTATGTTCCCCATCTATTAACAAGCACTGATCACAAGTTCCCATTCAGATCTGAATCCCACCTCACCAACTAGAATTAATCACATGAAATCACAGTGATGTCAGAGGAATTTCCCTTTAAGTGCAATGCACAGTACATAAGAAGGGAATAAAATCAATGGCCACAATGGTCAGCACCTATTTCCTATGATCTCCTCCCTCTCTCCAGTCTACTGGAGTCTATTTGAGTCTTGAATCTACTCATGCCAGATTCCTAGCTTGCTCCACCAGCACAGCATTGCAAACAAAGGGCAGGAAGAGTGCTAATGTCCCTCTGGCGAAGGTCATGCGTCAGGAGCCTCGCCTCTCAATGTCCCTACAGTGACTCTCCTGCCAGGATAGGAACTGGGGAGCACTGTGGAGGGCCTGACTACCTTCTTTCTGGAAACAAAGGGAAGCTTCTCAAAGATGACTCTATCATCTATCTCATTCTTTGGATGTGTTAGAATCAAGTTCCTCTCATCCTCACTCCCCATGTGGTGTAATTCTCCCATTGTGCACTGGGCTAGTAGGTTGGGTCTCCAAAGGATAATTCACTTCTTTTCCCTTTAGGGTTCTAGAGGTAGTCCCAAGGGTCTGGGTTTCTTAATACTATTGCTTATCATAATTAGCCACCTAGAGTTATCTGATGTGGCCCCAATATTAATTAGCCATCTAGAGTTATCTAATGTGGCCCCAATATTAATTAGCCATCTAGAGTTATCTCTATAAATGGGGTATTTACTAAGTAAGTATATCAGATTGGGTTGGGGTTAGAATTGGAGGTACATTTAGAGCAAGGACAGTTGTTACAGAAATAACTACACATACACACACACACACACACACACACACACACACACACACACATACACACACAGATTGGAGGTACACTCTCCCCTTGAACACACAAGGTCCCTGGGGAGAGTGAGTTCATTTTGCCAGAGATGAAACTCACAACTCCCACTTATTTGCAGTTCTTTTTTCCTTTCATGGGGTCCTGGTGAAGCTCCTCTGGGTGTGGCTCTTTGCTGGGCTGTGAGGGCTGGTAGATTTGTAGAGTCTAAAGCAATATTTCTGTGTTCTGAAGAGGTTACATTCCCTGAAGCTGCCTTTCCTTAGCGTATATGGTCTCTCCTCTCTCAACTCTCAACTAGATGCAGCGTTTGTTACCAGTCCCCAGTCTCTGATGACATGATCAATGGGGAATGAGGTCAGAGTATGACAGTCCCTCTGGACTCTCTTCATCCTCCCCTACCCCTTTTCTAGCTCTGATTGCAGGCACAAAGGTCTGGCTATTCAAAGGGCTCCCAGAGCCTTCCTGATTCTAGAATTCCCCCCTCCAATACACCTAAGTCCAGAGGCATGTCCAAGATTTTGGCAACTGGTTCACACATAGTTTGTGCTTTTATTTGGTTGATTTCAACTCAGTCAAAGAGACATTCTCAATTACTAAAGATATCGAGGCTACCTTGATTGGAATGGTTGAGTGGCATGGGTGTTTATTGACTGACTGATTGACTTTAAGTCAGGGAATTTTTCACTTTCTCTTTTGTACCCCCAGTACCTTGTTTAATGCTTGGTAAGTGATTTGATAAATATTATTAATAACAATGAGTAATAAATATTATTGATTGATCTTCTCAGCACCATCTTTCTCCTCCATTTCCCCTCTCCATCTCTCCCTGTCTCTTCCTTTCTCTCTAGCTACTACTTCCTTGCAAGTGTTCATGCCTCATTCATTTCAAAACCCCAATGCCTACAGACCCTTCCTTAATCCCTTTCATGCCCTCTGGGGAGGTCCCATTCATGTGTTTTTAACAGCACATGAATTTAATTGTGAAACAATAGCTTATTCCTTCATTTTGGAAAACAATCCAGTCATGAACATTACAAATCATCAGGATGTATGAAATTAAGTAGCTTATGTTAGCAATTTTCCCAAAAGCACTTATTAAGGACCTACTATGTTTTGGGCATGGTGTCATCATATTTCTGGGAGTACAAAGACAAAAATGAAATAGTCCCTGCCCTCAGGAGCCTTATGGTCTCTCGGAAGAGGCAGCATGTACATGTACAATAAATACAAACAACATAAATACAAGGTAATTGGGGTAGGGAGGTTTCATTTGATAAGCAATCTTGTTTTAAATAAGCTTTAAATTGGAATCTGTCTGCATGGAAAAATATGGTACAATGAAAGCACACTAGAACTGAAACTATTTAGTCCCACCGAGGGGTTCTGCTTCCCCACCAGGAACATGGGTACACTCCTTGTACTGCCTACCTCAGAGGATTTTTGTGAGGAAAGTGAGCCCTTTGTAAACCTTTCATGCTATAGAAATGTGGTTTTATATGTAGTATTTCTACTACTTGTATTTTACTGAGAAAAAAGGAAGCAAGGAGATTACTAGGCAGAAGGTCAAAGTGATGTTAGTAAAGCTAATGCAAATTAGATGGGCTGATAAACAATATTTATTAGATTTTATAGTTTTAGCTGCAAGACTGGATATCCACTTTTACTTACCAGGAGCCAAGTGACAGCCAGCCTTTCTAATAGATTGTATGAAAAGAGAGGGGAAATAAATCAGTCAATCAATAAATATTGGTTAATTACCTAGCATGTTTCTAGCTTTGGGCTTGGTGCTATGTGGGATGGCAGAGAAGGATAAAATGAGTTTCCCACCCACAGTGAGTTTACAATCTCATTAACTGACCATCTGTCTCTTTTCCTCAGACATGTTCACATTCTCTTCTGGGCAAATCGTTCAGAAAATTCTTTTGTCCAGTTGCTCATGTCTATATCAAATGAGAGAATATTTGTGAAGCACTTAGAATAGTGCCCAGCACCTAGCAGTCTCTATATAAATGCTTATTCCCTTCCCCCCATAATTTTGGTCACTTGACCATAGGAAGATGAAATGGAATTTTCTGTGATCCTACTAGGGTCCCAGGAATCTTCCCTGTTTGAATTGTCCCTCTTAAAATCTTGAAACTTTTCAGACAAACTGGCTGACTTGCCTCCAGTGAAGGGGGAAAACATTGTCTCCTGGGTGTCTGTCCTGGTCCACTGCTGGACAGCTCTCATCATTAGGAAGCTTCCCCCTACCTCCCTACATCAAACCTAGCTTTTCCTCTTTGTCTCTTCTTACTATTCCTCTTGATCATGCCCCTCCTTTACATGGCAGCTTTTCAGATACTTGAACATAACCATCGTGTGGCCCCTAGGCTGAATATCCCCAGTTCTTTCAACTGGTCTGCACATGTAATGAGTTCAAAGTCCTTCACAATGCTGGTGGTTCTTCCAAGGCCATGCCCCCAGCTTAGCAAAGAGTTCAAAGAGACATTTAACTTCATCTAGTCATTTTATAAGTGAGAAAAATGAGACCCAACTGCCACCAAGCCTGTCCTTCTGTTACCTTGGTCTAAACATTGGAAGAGAAGAACACAAAACAGCATCACAAGTGTCTGTATAAGAAGGGTGGACAGTAAGTCCTTCTTCCTTTTTGGAGGCTCCGGCTTTCTAATATACATGTTCAATCAACTAATCGAACAATAAACTTTTATTGAGTGCCTATTATGGGCCAAGTACTGGGGATAAGGACACAAATGAAACATTCCCCGCCCTTGAGGAGCTGCCATTCTAGCAAGGGATCTTTCCCAGTCCTCTGTCAGGTTGCTTTCCATTGAACCTAGATATATCTGGAATCCACCTAGATATTTGCATGTTAGAATGTGAGAATTAGGATGACAGCTCCTTGAGATTGGGACTGTTTTAGTCCCTGAAGTCTTTAAGCAGCAAGAAAAGAGTGTATATTTTATCCTAGAGGTAATACGGAGGCTGGTGAATGGAAGGAGTCCATCTATCACCATAGTTGTAAGGCAGACATAGACCCCAACCTCCATTTTCTGAGTCAGCCGAACATTTGGGTTTTGAGAGAGTCAAGGAGTGGTCATTATGCAGGTGTGAAAAGATATTTTTGCTGCTTTCTAGAATTATTGTGACTCATTTGGAGAACACCAGAAGGCAATTGTGTTGGTCCACATCGTTAATTGAGCATCTCTCAGGACAACAGTCCTGGTAAAGTAAGTATGGGAATATGCAAACATGTTAATGCAGGTAGAACCTGCAATTTCCTCTGGAAGGGAAACTCCTGCTGTGGGAACTCCTTTCCCCAAAGGCAGATTGCAATTTCTCTGGGACTTAGAGAAGTCCTAAGTCGATGCTAGAAGAATCAAGGAAGGCCCCTTTACCCTGTAGGGATTGAGGAAGAAAAGACTATTCCTACAGCTGTTGTAGCTGCTTTCATCCTGGTCAAGTCTCTTCTTGCCGAGATCTAGGCAAGGTTGTATATTCTACATTCCAAACTCAAAGGCAACTTATGAATTTCAGCCCCTTCCCCATTCAGTACACACACACACACACACACACACACACACACACACACACACACACACACACGGTTTTAAAGGAACAAGTCAATTTTGAATAAAGCTGATATTGTCTTGTTACAACAGAAAACTACTTTTCCATCTCGGCACATGATTCATTGGGACCCACTCATTCTAGCTGAAATGGACCCATGTGAGGATTTAATATAAAATCCTCTGCTTGGCATTTAAAGTCCCTTCCTCCCTTTTCAGTCTTCTGACACCTTCCTACCCTCCACATACTCTATGGCCCAGCAATGCTGGCTTACTTGATATTCTTCAAACATGTTAACTCATCTGCCATCTCCATGTATTCGCCACTAGCTGTGCTCCATGTGTGGAATACTCTCTGCTCCCTCACCTCTGCCTTTTAGCTTCCCTGGTTTCTTTCAGGACTCAGCTCAAACTCAATCTTGTGCTGGAGGCCTTTTCCTGATCCTTCTCAATTCCCCATCCCATGGCTAATGCTGTCCCTCTGAGATGGCCTCTCATTCACACTGGATGTATCTTGTATTCACATAGTTTTTGTCCCCCATTTGAATGTAAGCTGTTTTGACTTTTCTTTATATCACCAGTGCCTGGCACAGAGTAAGCCCTTAACAAATGCTTCTTGATTGAGGTTAGTTTTGAATCAAAGAAATCCAACCTTATTAAAAACAGAAGCTGTTTCCTTAATGCTGTTGCTTTCCCAATTCTTGGGGACCAAAAGTCCTTAGTTAAAAATAGAAAGGAGGGAGTAGATGTCTTCTCTGAGACCTCTTCTGATTCCTTCTGGAGCCAATTTGGGGAGAGATGAATTTTTAGGATCCTCTTTACCATTCTGAACACCTAGAAGGTATTGATTGATAATTTCACCTTTTCCAAGGATGGTTGAACAGTCAGGGTCCTAACATCCAGAACAAGAACAGGTAGAGAAATTAGATTCCATCATTTCCTACCTGTGGGCTTTCATCCCCCACTTCCTCCTTCTTCTGCTGCTGACTATTCCATGCTGACTATTCTTCTTTCTCTAAGTCATATTACACACCATCCCCCTGGAATGGAATGTCTTGCTTCTTTCCCCATGCAGTCTTCCCATGCTAGCCCTGTCTGATTGCAGTCACTCCCACTATCCTCTTGGGCACAATGAGAACAGGAAATATTTTCTGTCCTCGTACCTCCCATAAAAATTAGCTCAGTGTATGTGCCCAGAGCCCAGTCAACAAACCCTGACTGATTTGGGGGCTTATGGTGATTTTTAGCCAATATAAAAGGGTGCTATACTCTACCATGAGAGTCCTATGGAAGAATCAATTCTTACATTAAGGAGCTCAGAGTTTAATGTGGGATAAACCATATGTAAACATCTATGTCCATACCAAATACATATATGGTAAAGGAGAGGGTATTGATAGCTCTTGCAGCCCTTCACCAATGTAGAAACCCTTGAGCTTAACCCCTAGCTACTGAGAATAATTAGGTCAAATAGGAAATTAAGAGAAGAATCACTCCCCTTAGTGGCTTCTTTCTGGCCCACCAGTCTACCTTCATGATATCCCCAGCAGCCTTGAGGCCATGCTTCATGCCAATTGCTACTGGTACACTTTATGTTGCTTGCCCTGGGTATAAAAATCATGAGTGGCTGCCCTTAGCTTAGTTTGAGATGTGGAGGGGAGGTGTCTCTTGGCACTGCAGCAGCTTGGCCTGGAGGCCCATTGGCAG